GGAGACCCTGCAAATACTTACCCCAATAAGTGTATGTTTACTGTAAGTTTCCCTTTATTTTAGGCACTTTCTGGCAATTGCCCTTATCCAAGATGGCTGCCACAACTTGTATTCCCACAAGTCATCTGTATTAGGCCCAATAAGGCACAAACTGCACACATGTGGGCCTATTCCGAGTGTGTTTGCTGTTTAGAGACCAGGAAGAGGACTCTGTCTGAAGCCTACATGGCCCCTAAACACCCAGGAAACCAGGAATAAATCACTGGGACCGAGGGGGAAGCAAAATCGATAAAAAAAAAGTGCCTGCAAGGAAGTTTAAAAGGCAACCACGTGCAAAAAGGTCAAAGTTTAAAGGCACCACAGTCTAAAGGCCTCAAGGTATAAAAGGTAAAACAGTTTTCAAATCTAACACAGTTTCCAAAATGTAACAGTTTTTAAAATATATCAGTCTTCAAATGCACTGCAGTTTTCCAATGCACTGCGGTTTCCAATGACTTGCGGTATTACATGCAACAGAATTAAATGCCAATTTAAATGAAACAGTTTTAAATGCCACACAGCTTAAATGCTTCCTAGCAAAAGCACAACCGCATAATGTACCACAATCTTAAAAATAAGGTACAGCTGTATAATGCACTAGTTTAACCCCTTAAGGACACATGACATGTGTGACATGTCATGATTCCCTTTTATTCCAGAAGTTTGGTCCTTAAGGGGTTAAAGATATCAAAGCTTAAATGCATCACAGCATAAAAGCACAACTGCATAACGTACTACAGTAAAACAGCAAATAAAGTAATGAAGATAAAACAACATACATGTCCGAAGTAAAGGGAGCAAATTGCTCACGTCCTAAGGGCTGTAGGACAGGAAAAAGACTGAGGACCTTAGGGATGGAGCCTCCTTTTAAAACCTTGGTGGTTTTCCTGTCCTATCGGCTGTAGGGGAGGAGCTAACCCATGTGTATATGCTGCCATGATTAGCCAGGAAATATATATATATATATATATATATATTTTCCTGAGCCACTTATGAAGAAAAAAAGTTATTTTAAATGTGTTTTTTTCTAAATAACTCTTATAAATGATATTTTAAAAGGTTATGACTAATCACATAGACATGGTACTGTAGATATCAGATTTTTAATGGCATAAATTGGATGTATCTAGTTCTTTCTCCTCTGTATAAAATACTGTTTAAAATGAACTGGTCCAGCTGTATAGTTACTGTTACAGTGAATATTAGTCCACTGCCCCTACTGGCAATTAATACATTGCTAATGGGATAATTCTTCTCCTACGAGTAAATTGGTAATGCTGAGTGAAGATTATGTTGGAGGAATGATGGAATGCACAACAAACACATAGAATAACTAATGCATTACATTTAAATAAATTTCACCGTTAAAGAAACACTCTAACATTAAAAATACCTAAAATTAGATTAATTAAAAATATTAAATTACTTTTACTATTGGAGAGCTTTCTTCTTTATTTTATATTAAGGCTCCATTTTTGAAAAGGAAATTTTTATTCTAGTGTCAAGAGCATCTCAATGCTGCAGCTTTGATCCACTTCTAGACGATTATCATTACTGATGATCACTGGGCCAATTCAATGCCTGTCATAGAGGGATGTGGGCAGGGCTGCCACCAGAAATTTTGGGGCCCCTAACAAAGCTCAAGGTCTGGGCCCCCGGGGCCCACCCCCGACTCCGCCTACAGGGCTCTTTCTGGGTACGCCCACAAGGATGCAGGACTGAATGTGGTGTGTGTATAGTGGATGTAGAATTAGAATGCGTGCAATGGATGCAGAGTGAGTGTATAGTGGATACAGATTTTACATTTGTGTGTAGTGTTTGTGTGTATTAGATGTAGTGTGTGTGTTTGTGTAGTGTATGTAGTGTGTGTGTATAGTGAATACAGAGTGTGTTTGTGTAGTGGCTTTAGTGTGTGTACAGTGAATACAGAGTGTGCTTGTGTAGTGTGTGTATTAGATGCAGAGTGTGTAGTGGATGCAGTGTTTGTGTTTGTGTAGTGGATGTAGTGTGTGTACATACAATGTTAGGTGGAGTATCTTTCTTTTGAAGTAGAAATAGTTTCTGGACCAATAAATTCTAGGAATAAAATATAAACAGACAAAAAATAGTGCGATATAGCCAATATAAATAATAAAGTGCCATGATGAATGAAAAGACACTCACAAACGCAGAGCCATAGAATTTGGTTCAGATTTCCAGCTTTGTGGGATGTAGGGTACCCTCTGAGACAGACAACGGTACTGGAGTTGGAGGCTGGTAGTGATGGTGTTTATGAGCTTAGTACTTCAGAAGGATGTGCTAAAATGTGGGACAAGGTGGAAGCTGAAATGTTGAGATTATGGAAGAATAAGCAGTCTATATCCACTGTTTTGGCATGTAAGCAAGGTGCAAAGGAAGAAATTGGTATTTTTGTAAAGAGATTTTACAAGTGTTGGAAGGATGAGGCAGGTTTGATATGGATCTCCTTAAAATACAGTCATGCCTTGGTAATATGTTGCCACAGTATTCTTTGCTTGTGAAACAATTGATTTCAGACTGGGCCAATTTGGGTGGCTCAGATTTTCTTACCAAGGTTATAGAAAAGGAAAATGCAGGTTGTTTTGACTTAAGAAAAGATTCAGGAAGTAAGGTTGCTTATTATGCTCAGGGATTGCAACACTGTCCACCTACACAGGCCCGAGAGAGAGGATGGGATGGAGCACATAGAGCCCGTGGAAGGGGTGGTCAAAGAGGGGCAAGGGGATGGAGACAGGGAAATCAGGGTTATAGGGGCAGGGGTAACCAAGGAGGAATAGACAGGAACACTTGTTTCAACTGTGGCCAGCATGGCCACTGGAGGAATGAGTGTCCACACCCCAGGAAACCCCAGCCGCCCCAACAACCCCACAATTCTCAAAATATGCCCGGTAGGCAAGAACAACACCAGGCCCACTCCCAACACCACTGGCCAGCACTTCCCCCTCCCCCCTCGCTCCAGCAAACCCAAACTGCACTAGGGCCATTCACAGGTACCACTGACCAGCACACCCATCACATCCCATGGCCCCAATAGGGCTGCCTTGAAGGTGACACTCCAACTTTTCCACTTTTGTCCTCTACTAATGATGATCAGCCCTTTTGCATTCTGGTCATAGAAGGTAGATCCTTGCCATTTTTGGTAGATACTGGAGCTACGTGTTCCAGTCTCTGTGACACCTATTATCAGGGGACAAGGGAAAAGTCTACACCTTCATTGGGTATTAATGGAGTGTCAACACCCACTTTTGTCACACCACCACTGTCTGTTTTCTGTCCTCTTAATGGTTCTTCTACTGTGCACCCTTTTCGTCTAATACCTAAATGTCCTGTTAGTTTGCTGGGAAGGGATCTTCTTGGTATTCTGGGAGCTACCATTACTTGCACATCCTCTGGTGGTATTGATGTGTCTATGTTGTGTTCTGAAACTATTGATTTGTCTGATGTTCCTTCCTCTGTGTGGGCTTCATCTAAGCTAGATGTAGGATTTGTATACTGCACCCCTTACAAAGCCAAACTAAAACCAGATGTAACTTCTATCTACCTTAAACAGTACCCCCTGTTAGAAGCCAAGGTTGAGGGAGTTCGCCCCATGATCCAATATTTTCTAGAGCAGGGAATACTGAAGCCAGTAGTTGCCCCATATAACACACCTATTAATCCAGTTCCTAAAGGTAATGGTTATTGCTTAGTTCAGGATTTTAGATCCCTGAATAGTTTAATTGTGCCCATTGCACCTATTGTCCCTGATGTGACATCCCTCATTACAGCCATTCCACATGATGCCACTTGCTTCACTGTCAGTGATTTAAGTAAATAATTTTTTTCTATACCTATTGATCAAGAGACACAGCTACTTATGGCTTTTACTTTTGAAGGCTGTCAGTATTCCTGGACACGCTTACCCCAAGGCTATGTGGATTCCCCAGCCGTTTATTCACTGGTACTGCAACATACTCTAAAAACATGGACGCCCGGTCATGGTTCCGTCCTTTTGCAATATGTTGATGATTTGTTGTTATGTAGCCCTAGCTATGAGGCAAGCACTGTGGATATTGTCAGTTTGCTCAAACACTTAGCAACCGTGGGTCACAAGGTTGCAAAACACAAAATGCAATTGTGTAAATCAAAGGTTGATTACTTAGGTTTTGTTCTGGCTTCAGGCACCAGACAATTAAGTCCAAAACTTATTGAGGTAATTCAGAGGATTCCTAAACCCACTACTCGGAAAGAGTTGCTCACCTTCCTCGGCATGATTAATTACTGCCGCCAATGGATCCCTGAATGCTCCCATTATGACTCAATCCTAAGGGAGGCTGTACGTTTTGACAGCCCTGAAAATGTCTGCTGGTCACCAGACATGCTAGCTGCGTATATTGCCCTCAAAGTCGCTATTGTGCATTTAGGACTACCTGTGTATTGTAAACCATTTCATTTGTATGCTCGGAACAACTGTAAAACCATGGCCGTGGTCTGTGCGTAAGAGCACGGAGGCGGTATGCGTCCCATAGCATTCTTTTCCAAAGTAGTTCCAGCTCCGGTACAGGGTATGCTGGCATGTCTCAGAGCATTGGCAGCATGTGCAATAGCTGTTGAGACTGCTACTACTATCACACTAGGGCATCCTACAATACTCCATAACAGTCACCAGGTCACTCAGCTTATAAAAAATCTCACCACACAACACATGACAGCCCAGCGCTTAAGTGGTTATGAGATTATTCTTCTTAATACCCAGAATCTGTCTATTGTCTATAGTCCTGTTAATTCTGGTCCTATGTCTGTTTTGCATGCTATTCTCACTTCTGCATCTGACTCTGCGTCTATACCATCTGAGCCTCATAAATTCATAATGCCACATCTCCCAGAGCAGACCTCTCCTCCACAGCACTCAGTGGCCCGGATGTGACCACCTTCTTTGTGGATGGCTCTTGCTCCAGACCAAATGACGGTACGTACCTCACAGGCAGGGCCGGCGCTACCATTAAGGCGAATAAGGCACTCGCCTAGGGCGCCGGCCTCTGGGGGGCGCCCACCGGGAGGTTTCCTGGTGGGCGGCCCTGCTGCTGCCTGGGGCTGGTGTGCTGGGCGAGTGGCTTCTTAGCCACCCCCCAGCGCAGCCATTCAGCTGCTGGGCTCTCTCTGCAGCCACTTGCCTGGGGTTACAGCACTTACCTATGCTGTAACCCCAGCACCCGAGCAGAGCACTCAACTTCCTGCAGGCAGGGGAAGCCGGGACATGCCTTGGTATCCCGGCTGCCCCCTGCCTGTGAACACCGGAAGCACTCTAAGGGGAACAGGAAGTAGCCTGTGCTCACAGTGCACAGCTCTCCTGCTCCCCACACCAGGAACAGCACCAGCTACCTGCAAGCTGGACCCCTCTCCTCACAGCACTTATGAATGGTCCATCTGAAGGTAAGGGGAACTGATTATTTGTATGAGTGTATGATGGTAAATTGGTCTGTATGTATTGAATTGCGTGTTGTGTTGTGTTTGTGGGTGTAAATAAAGTGTGACTATATGTAAAGTGGTGTAAGTTTGTGCTTGAGTGACAGTGTGTGTGTTAATGAGAGTGTGTAAGTGATACTGTGAATGTCACTGAGAGTGTGTGTGTAAGTGAAACTGTGTGTGCATGTCAGTGACAGTGTGTGTGTGATACTATGTGTGTTAGTGACTGTGTAAATGACATTGTGCATGTCAGTGAGAGTGTGTAAGTGAAGCTGTCTGTATGTCAGTGATAGTGTATGAGTGTCACTGTGTGTGTGTGTGTTAGTGACATTGTGTATGTCAGTGAATGTGTAAGTGACACTGTATGTCAGTGAGAGTGTGTGTTAGTGAAAGTGTGTGAGTGACACTGTGTATGTCAGGGTCTGTGTTAGTGAAAGTAACTGGCACTGTAAGTCAGTGAGTGTGTAAGCGACACTATGTATGTCAGTGAGAGTGTGTGTTAGTGAGAATGTGTATGTGACATTGCATGTCAGTGAAAGTGTGTTAGTGAAAATGTGTATGTATGTCAGAGTGTGTGTGCTAGTGTGTGACCATGTAATTAGATACTTATATATTAAATTATATTTAAAATATATATTAATAGAATTCAATATTAAACCGAAAAAATGTTAGTAGTAACATAAATTAAATCTCAATATTGTTACAAATGAAACAGCACCAAATGATTGAAAAAGAGTGTGTGGATATATTTATTAGGCAGTATGTGTCTATTGATCTATGCATTCGGCAGTATGAGTGTATGAATGTATTTATTAGGTGGTGTGTGTGTGTGAGGATTTATGTAATGTGCATATGGTTGATTGTATGTAATAGGCAGTCTGTGTGGATGGATGTATTAGGCAGTGTGTTTATATGGATGCATATACTGGATGAGTGCTTCTACGCAGTGTGTTCATTGCAATTCAGAATTTAGTGAATAAACCTGTGAGAGAATGTAGTTTCATGAGGGGGCGGCAAAATGGATTGCTGCCTAGGGCATCAAGAATCCTTGCACCGGCCCTGCTCACAGGCTATGCTGTGGTAGAGCTACCTGATAAAATCATTGAAGCTGACACTATTTTCCAGCCATCTGCACAAGCTGCAGAACTCATTGCTCTCATACGTGCTTGTCAGCTTTTCTCAGGACAGCAAGTGAACATTTACACAGACTCATGATATGCTCATGGGGTAGTTCATGATTTTGGTGTGATTTGGGAACAAAAAGGCTTTGCCCTACTGACAATTTGCTTTCTGACAAGCCTTTGCAACACAATTTGCCTACTGACAAGCCTTTGCAACGCAATCTGACTTTGATTTTTGGATTAAACAAGGTTTAGAGAAAGATCAGAATGGTCTTTTCTCTAAAGAGTGGAGAATAGGCATACCTGAAGCCAGCTGCTTTATTTTCATCAATCAGGCACATGGTCCCGGTCACAAAAGCATAGCAAGCACCATCCAATTCCTCATGAATTCATTTTATATTAGGAATCTCAGGCAGCATGTACAGTCTTTTGTAAGATCATGTGAACCATGTATGAGAACACATCCTAATATTCCACACAAATCACAGCACGAACATTTGCCCCCTCCAGCTACTCCTTTTACACACTTACAGATTGATTTTACTCATGTACCCAAAATTGTTAAGAAACAGCAATATTTACTGGTCATAGTTGATCAGTTTAGTAGATGGCCCGAGGCCTTTGTGACATCTAGGGAAGATGCTAGGACTGTAGTGAAGATTCTTGCTACTGAAATTATTCCAAGGTATGGCTGCCCTCTGCAGATTAACTCTGATAATGGCCCGGCTTTTGCCATTAAGGTTACCCAGGAACTTGCTAAATTCTTGCAAGTTACCTGGAAGTTTCTGTGGATGATACCCTATCATCCACAGAGTTCAGGGGTAGTGATGTCCTGAACGGTTCGCTCAACGGTTCGCCAAACGGTTCGCCAAACGGTTCGCTGCGGATGGTGAACATATGACCCTGTACCTCACAGTCAGCAGACACATTCCAGCCAATCAGCAGCAGACCCTCCCTCCCAGACCCTCCCTCCTTCTGGACAGCTCACTAAGAATGCAGCTTCAAAATGGATGCTGTCCAGGAGGTGGGAGGGTCTGGGAGGGAGGGTCTGCTGCTGATTGGCTGGAATGTGTCTGCTGACTGTGAGGTACAGGGTCATATGTTCGCCATCCGCGGTGAACCGTTTGGCGAACCGGTTGGGACATCACTATTCAGGGGTAGTTGAAAGGATGAAAAGGACCATTAAGGAGAAGCTTATGAAAGCTACTGCAGGAACATGGGTAAATTGGACAAAATATCTTCCAGCTATTTTAGCTGAGATAAGAATGACTCCCCACAAGGTGACTAAATTATCACCATTTGAGATTTTGATGGGACGACCTTTTCCCACACCCTGGGCAAGGTAGCCGATTTACAGCTAATACAAGAACAATATGTACAGGAATTGTTGATAAAACTGAATTGTTGGGGAAGCTGAAATAGCTCAGTTGGGAGAGCGTTAGACTGAAGATCTAAAGGTCACTAGTTCAATCCTGGGTTTCGGCATTGGTTGCAGTGTCCCATGATTCAATTTTGGCGGAGGGGGGCGGGGTTTCCGGCAGAAACGGAGAGGAAGCGTGTGGCTGATGCAGGCATGTAGACGCTGCATGTAGCTACCCCCCGTATCGGCAAATAAGCCAGCAAAGCTACGAGATGCCTGGTAATTTTTTTCTTTAGTCTGACAAGCAAGCAACAGCCAGTCTGAGCTATCGGAGGCTATCTGAGGTGTTTGACGTGCTCAGTGTAATGGAGTGTAACGGAGCCTTACAAACTGCCTGGACTTCTGCTTCTGCTTAAGCTCGTGCCACAGCCTGATTACAGCCTGACAGCCTGATTATTCAAGGTAACGGAGAGCTATCCCAGAATCACTTTGAGGAGGGTAAAAGAGAAGGGAGCAGGAGCAGGAGACTGATACATAGCAGTGCTTCATTTAAGGCTAAGTGCACAAAGTAAGGCAAATAATCAAAGCAAGCAAGCAGTTCAATATTTATTTATTTATTTATTTTGTCTTAAAATGCTTCAGTGGGATAACAAATGATCTAAAGAGGCCCAAAGGCGAAATAGATGACTTAGAGTGAAACAAAGTATATAAAATGAACTAAAGCGGCACAGAGTAAAAAATAAACGATACAGAGTGATACAAAGAGAGGCAAAGAGACGCAGAGTGATACAAGTGATACAAATTGATCTAAAGAGATAAAGAGATACAAAGCATTTCAAATTGCCTCTAAGTAAACGCAAAGAGTTTTTAAAGCAACAGGAAGGATTTAAGAGCTCTAAAGTGCAAGTGCTTTAAATGGTTAATAAGAGCCTCTGAACGTTGCAAGGCATTGCAAAGCTTTGTAAATTGCTCCAAATTGTTTTAAGACTGTGGGAAAGATTTAAAGCAAATAAATAAGTGATTTAAAAGGCGATCCAAATTGCAGCTGAAGCAATGATAAAGTGATATAAAGGAGACAGAGCAGAGATTGAGCAACATAAAATTATTTGAAGAAAAAAAAGGGACAAAAAAAAAAAAAACGCTCTGAGGGGATGTGAAGAGATTGAGGAGAGGAAAGGAGGGAACAGTGAATTAAACTTATTAAATTAGAAGTACATATTACAGTGAAGCAGTACAAGATATCAAGAACAAGAAAAGGAGAAGAAAGAGGAAAGAGAAAAGAGAAAGAAAGAAGGGAAAGGAAGAGGAAAAAAAAAAGTCAAATATATCTCCTCCCCCTTTTTTAGCGCCTCAACACTGTATCAACTTATAAAATTTAATACAGTCTCTCAGCACTACCTACACGGACACCAGATGGCGCCGCCGAAGGCACAAAGACAACATGAGTTCTTTAAAACAAATAAGAAAGACAGAGGAAGAACAGAGCGGGGTGCAGGAGGCAGTGCGAGATCTCCCTCATATCACTCTGAAGCAGGCTCTGATACAGATTCTACACAAATCTTAGGAGAAAATGTAGAAGATCTCTCCTTGTCAGAAAAAAGATTGGCAGACATGCTCTCCACCCTGAGAACATCATTACAGCTAGATTTTAGATAAATATCGGAAGAAATACGAAAGGAAGTCCATGAGTTGGGAACAAGGACATCCGCTCTGGAAGAAAAAATGGATGAGATCTGCGAGAACAACAACAAAATGAGGGAAAAAATTTATTAAAATGGAAGAGGACTTTCAAAAACTCCAGGGAAAAATGGCGGATATAGAGGATAGGTCCAGACGCAATAATATCCGCGTTAGGGGTGTGCCTGAAACAGTTCAGGGGCTAGATATACCACCTTATTTAGTCGAATTGTTCAAGGCAATAGCTCCCACTCTTACTACAGAAGATTTGCGGTTTGATAGATCACATAGGGTGCCAAAGCCTAAAATTTTAACTACTGAAGTTCCCAGAGACATTGTGGTGAGGCTACATTATTTCAGTACAAAAGAGATGATCTTATCCACCCAAAGAAGGGTTACAACAATGCCGCCAGCATTCGCGCATATCTCACTGTTTGCGGACTTATCTGCCATGACTATAGCAAGAAGAAGAGATTTTCAAAGAGTTACTAAATATTTAAGAGATAACAACGTGAATTATAGATGGGGATTCCCAACTAAATTGCTGATTTGGAGAAACGGATCGATGACTAAGATAGAAGACCCTGAAGAAGGACTACAAATATTACATAAATGTGGTCTAATAGGAACTCCTTCAGAAAAGGTGGACAGTTCACATGTGAGAGAAATGCTACCAGAATGGATGGCAGTACGTAAGGGAAAATAGCTGATCATATAATGCAAAGAATAGAAGTGGAGACAGCTTATTAATTTATGCTTGAACTGAAAAATATATAAAAGATTGAATTTAATTGAGGTAAAACAGTCTTGATGA